CACTGGATCATTAACACACTTCATGGATCATTAACACACTTCATGGATCATTAACACTGGATCATTAACACACTTCATGGATCATTAACACACTTCATGGATCATTACCACTGGATCATTAACACACTTCATGGATCATTACCACTGGATCATTAACACACTTCATGGATCATTAACACTGGATCATTAACACACTTCATGGATCATTAACACTGGAACATTAACACACTTCATGGATCATTAACACTGGATCATTAACACACTTCATGGATCATTAACACTGGATCATTAACACACTTCATGGATCATTAACACACTTCATGGATCATTACCACTGGATCATTAACACACTTCATGGATCATTAACACACTTCATGGATCATTACCACTGGATCATTAACACACTTCATGGATCATCAACACTGGATCATTAACACACTTCATGGATCATTAACACTGGATCATTAACACACTTCATGGATCATTACCACTGGATCATTAACACACTTCATGGATCATTAACACTGGATCATTAACACACTTCATGGATCATTACCACTGGATCATTAACACGCTTCATGGATCATTAACACTGGATCATTAACACACTTCATGGATCATTAACACTGGATCATTAACACAGTTCATGGATCATTAACACACTTCATGGATCATTACCACTGGATCATTAACACACTTCATGGATCATTAACACTGGATCATTAACACACTTCATGGATCATTACCACTGGATCATTAACACACTTCATGGATCATTAACACTGGATCATTAACACACTTCATGGATCATTAACACTGGATCATTAACACACTTCATGGATCATTAACACTGGATCATTAACACACTTCATGGATCATTAACACTGGATCATTAACACACTTCATGGATCATTACCACTGGATCATTAACACACTTCATGGATCATTAACACACTTCATGGATCATTACCACTGGATCATTAACACACTTCATGGATCATTAACACTGGATCATTAACACACTTCATGGATCATTAACACTGGATCATTAACACACTTCATGGATCATTAACACTGGATCATTAACACACTTCATGATCATTACCACTGGATCATTAACACACTTCATGGATCATTAACACTGGATCATTAACACACTTCATGGATCATTAACACTGGATAATTAACACACTTCATGGATCATTAACACTGGATCATTAACACACTTCATGGATCATTAACACTGGATCATTAACACACTTCATGGATCATTAACACTGGATCATTAACACTGGATCATTAACACACTTCATGGATCATTACCACTGGATCGTTAACACACTTCATGGATCATTAACACACTTCATGGATCATTAACACACTTCATGGATCATTAACACTGGATCATTAACACACTTCATGGATCATTAACACTGGATCATTAACACACTTCATGGATCATTACCGCTGGATCATTAACACACTTCATGGATCATTACCACTGGATCGTCAACACACTTCATGGATCATTATCACTGGATCATTAACACACTTCATGGATCATTAACACTCTATCATTAACACACTTCATGGATCATTACCACTGGATCATTAACACACTTCATGGATCATTACCACTGGATCATTAACACACTTCATGGATCATTACCGCTGGATCATTAACACACTTCATGGATCATTACCACTGGATCATTAACACACTTCATGGATCATTACCACTGGATCATTAACACACTTCATGGATCATTACCACTGGATCATTAACACACCTCATGGATCATTACCACTGGATCATTAACACACTTCATGGATCATTACCACTGGATCATTAACACACTTCATGGATCATTACCACTGGATCATTAACACAGTTCAAGGATCATTAATATACCTCATGGATCATTAACACACCTCATGGATTATTAACCCCTCATGGGATCAACACAACTCATGGATCATTAACCCCTCATGGGATCAACACACCACATGGATCATTAACCCCTCATGGGATCAACACACCACATGGATCATTAACCCCTCATGGGATCAACACACCACATGGATCATTAACCTCTCATGGGATCAACACACCCACATGGATCATTAACCTCTCATGGGATCAACACACCACATGGATCATTAACCTCTCATGGGATCAACACACCACATGGATCATTAACCTCTCATGGGATCAACACACCACATGGATCATTAACCCCTCATGGGATCAACATAAATTATGGATAATTAACCCCTCATGGGATCATGGGATCATTAACACACATGGATCATGGGATCATTACACCCCTCATGGATCATTAACCCCACATTGATCATTAATAATCAACTAACACCTGGATCATTAACACACATGGGTTTAGCGCTCCCCGTGAGTATACCAATAATACTAAAGATATGCTACACATATTAGGTTATCCAAGTTTATCCCGGATTATCCTAGGTTATCCTGGGCTGTGAG